TTAATTATATATATATATATATATATATATATATATATATATACACATACAAGTAAGAAAAATCAGGTTAACTATAAATAGTTCCCCTAACAGTGTTGCAAAGAGAGTAAAAAAGGTATCATTTAACTTCCAAATGGAGAGTCACTAGAGGTGGGCGAAAGGGACTATATCCCTTTCGTGCTGTACAGAAATGTCAACTTCGGGTATATCCTAAATCCTAGGTGAGACTTGAATGACAATATGACACAGAAAATAGTGTTACGAACTTCATCAAAGATACTGACAAGAATATAGATTTTTGTAAATAATCTCACAACTCAAGAGAAAACAAAACAATTAAAAAACTTAATAGTTATTACAAGCTATGTTGGAAGCCTTTTCCTACCCATCCACCAATGGTTACTAGTGAAAATGCATTACTCATTAATTTCTGACAGTTCAGCCTTCACACAGCCACTGTACTGTATAGTTCTCAGAACAAGAAAAAACTTTTTTAAAGAAATGCTTTTTAAACATATGTTTTTGCTATTGACAGAGCACGAACACTGACTTATTGTTCCCTTTTATCATACAGCAAGAATGAGTGACAAAAACATGTTCTTATTTTCCAATTATCCCCTCCCCCTCCAAAGCAAAGTCCTATTAGCTACCCACACTCCCCACCCTTCAGAATGCATCTATATCAGACAAGTTAAAATAATCTGTCGAACAAGAAATGAATCAGATATCTGTTACCTTACAATTCCTTATATCCCAGGCTTTAACTTCTGGGCTGAATCCTCCACAAATAAAAATATTAGGCTCAGAAAGGTGAAACTTCAGTGTGCTGATCCTAAATTCATTTTTGCTGCTAAATACCTGTGTCCCTAAAATACAAAAAAAAAAGGGTTAAAATTTGAACATGAATAATACTTTCATTAGACAGAATACTGAATTTTTATGTAGCAAATAAATATTAAAATAAAATGTAGGTTGCCAAAAGTCAATACGTAAATGGTAGCAAAAAAAAATCTGGAATTGAATTAACTTTATTCCATTTAAGTGAAATTCATCCTACTCCTGGCCTGCTACACCATTTGCTGGGCAGTGCCCTTGCACAGACAAGAACAGGGCAGAGTGGATATGCAGAGAAACTTCTGGGTCACTTGCACACTGTGGGTGGGGGTTCCACAATAGTCCCAGTTAGGATGGCATGCAGGAGTTACATATGCAGATCCCATGGATGGGTACTCCTGTGCAGAGGAGCTGTGCTTGTTATTCCAGCAGCTAGAGAAGGGGCTGCATTGAAACCCTGCGGCCTGCATGTATGTTGCAGGGAGTGGAATTCCATCCGATCAGCCACATACCTTTCCTCTTGGATTTTGCTTGCTTGGATTTTGTGGAGGAGGGGTGAATTTTGCCCTTACAACAGAAAATAATTTGCATACCCTCATTCTAAGGCAATATCTGTTCCCATGGATACGCTGTTCTCTAAATTTAATTGTGTATGGTAATCTTCAAAGGATCCTGTGGCTTAATAGTAATTGGCTTGCAAACAGCACTTCCAAATTATATAATTCATAAATTAATACCACAGGAAATTCAGCTACATGAATGTGTAGGATTTATCTCCAGTTCATTGCTGTTATACTTATCAAATTCACGATAATGTACATTCACTGCAATACTATTTTGAAATAGCAACATATCTTAAGCTAAATGCATTTAAGTTTTCACAATTTCACATTTTATATTCTATTGTATTACACATGGTATCTACATTCAAGAATATATAACGACCACATACATCGAGAATATATTAGATGGTGTGCACTAACATAAGAACACAAGAATGGCCATACTGGGTCAGAACTATGGTCCATTCAGCCCAGCATCCTGTCCTATGAGAGTGCCTGGTATTAGATACAACAGGGCAATTATCAAGTGATCCATCTACTGCTGTCCAGTCCCAGCTACTAGCAGTCAGAGTTTTAGGGACACCCAGAGAATGGAGTTGTGTCCCTGACCATCTTGGCTAATAGCCAAGCTATCCTCCATGAACCTATCTAATTCTTTTTTGAACCCAGGTATACTTTTGGTCTTCACCGCATCTCCTGGCAATGAGTTCCACAGGTTGACTCTGCATTATATAAAGAAGTTTCATTGGGTGACCCCTGGAACTTGTGTTACATGAAGGAATAAATAACACTTCCTTATTCACTTTCTCCACACCATTCACAATTTTATAGACCTCTATCATATCCCCCCTTAGTTGTCTCTCTTTCTAAGCTGAACAGTCCTAGTCTTTTTACTCTCTCCTCATATAGAAGCTGTTCCATACCCCCAATCATTTGTGTTGCCCTTCTCTATACTTTTTCCTATTCTAATATATCTTTTTTGAGATGGGGTGACCAGAACTTCACCCAGTATTCAAGGTGTGGGCATACCATGGATTTATATATTGACATTATGGTATTTTCCATCCTCTTATCTATCCCTTTTCTAATGATTCCGAACATTCTGGTAGCTTTTTTGACCGCTGCTGCTCATTGAGCAGATGTTTCCATGATGACTACAAGATCTCTTTCTTGAGCAGTAACAGCTAATTTAGATCCCATCGTTGGGTTTATGTCTTCCAATGTGCATTACACTGAATTTCATCTGCCATTTTGTTGCCCAGTCACCCAGTTTTGTGAGATCTCTTTGTAACTCTTCATAGTCAACTTTGGCTTTAACTATACTGAGTAGTTTTGTATTGTCTGTAAACTTTGCCACTTCACTGTTTTCACACTTTTCCAGATCACTGAGTAAGTCAAGGGCCCCTGTGCACCTTAAAATATGATGAGGGCACCTTAAAAATGTGCATCTCACCAGTTGTACAGCAAATCAGACTTTCAGGCCAATTACTTTAATAATGTGCAAAAAGAACAGGAGTACTTGTGGCACCACTCCTGTTCTTTTTGCGGATACAGACTAACACGGCTGCTACTCTGAAACCTTTAATAATGTGCGATTTTTTGTTCTATAAAAATTCATGATGTGAACACTTTTTTGCTATTAGGTTGAAAGTAAAAATGTAATAAATTTTCACACTACTTTCTTCACTCTGAGCTGATCTGGTTGGTTTTGACATAGGAATTGATCCTGACTCGATTAACCAATCTTACATGGTAAGGAGGTTTTACAAGAAGCCATTCTGAGTCACTTTCTCAGAAAGAATGAGATTTCATTATGCATGCTCACTCAGAGCCAGAGCAGAAAAGCAGAAAAAAATCAGAACAATACAAAACAAAATGTACTGCTCCCTGCTGAAGCTGGGGGGGTTGGATGGTTGCTTATTGTTGCCTGATAGATTGTCAATCTAAAATGTTTAAGGGCTCCTGTAAACACTGACAGTGAGAGCATCCATCCAACAAAGGTCTTTTTTAAAAAAAAAAGAAAGAATGGGTGGTTAGCAGGCCAGCAGTCCTTCCTTCCAAAGTTACATGCCACCCGTAATGGCTTTTCCTCCTGGAAACCTGCGATTTCCCTAAGGACAGGAGAAGGAAGAGAGGAGATACTCATAAGTAAGGAGGACAAAGGCAGTACCAACGTAACAGGAGATTACTCTCATCTAGGCCACCATCTTGATCTAATAGCTGCTACATCCCTCAGCTTGATCTTCTACCTTGGAAGGATCTTGATTAGTATGGGATCTTGAGTGCAGAACCTTCCAACACATGGGAAGCAAAACAGCTAGCTAACAACTCCGGTTAAATGTGCTGAATAACAGTGGATCATTGTTACCATAACAAATACACAGTGATTTAATAATCAGATATCTAAAATGTTGTCCGATATAAAGGACAAAGCAAATTATTACGTAACACAAAAAGGAAAATAAGAAATTTTTCTCAAGTGGTTAAAAAGTGGGAAAAGTTGAATATGAACTTTTTTGTTAAATAAGAGGAAGCCTGCAAAATATTCACTTTATTAAGTTATTTTTAAAACAAGAAACTAAAACAAAAAGAGTTGGGTTTTTTTATTTAATTCTGTTCTGTTTTATATGCAAATTTGTGTACTTTTTGCATAAATACAATAGGCAACTTAACTTTTGTTTTTGGAACATTTAACTCTAATTTTAAGAATAGGTTTTCCATTTGTGGTCAGTTATTTTATGACCTCTAGCAACATCTTGTTAATTATATTTTAGAAGACTATGAAAATATAAAAAGAAGATATATATTATTACAATGAAGGTTTCACATCTCATACCCAAAATGAGCAACTTCAGGCAGAAAAAAGATATATAGTTCATTTCCATTCTTCCCAAGTCCCACTTTTATTAATAAAATAATACACTACTTAATGGAGAAAAGTTGTCCCTTGTTAAACTAAATGCAGAAGGGTTTTTTTAATCTCCTTTGTTGATCCCTAACAAAGATATTTTGTCATTTGTTTCTTAGCTGAACTGAGACACAATTTCTGGTAATGTTCTCTTCCACAGAGAAAACCTACATTCTTCTTTGAGATAAGGGCAAGCTTTATTGAGAATATTTCATCTACCTATGCTAAACAGTTCAAAAGTACAATTATTATAGTCTTTTTATGACAAAGCAAATGCAGAGTTAGGAAGCCTCCTGCCTTTTTTAAAATAAAAGAAATCTGAGCTGTTATTAAGATGAAGTTTCTTAGATTTAATAAGCAGCAAAATGGCTGTATGTAAAATTCAAAGGGATTCTGCTTCTGAATAAAATGAAATGTAAAGCGTTTTTGTTCAAATATACTTTGAAGTGCAACAGTGGGGAAGATGGGGGAATATTCTGGAATATAGAAGTATTTCTTCCCCACTTTTCTTGTTCAAAATTGAGAGCATTAAAAATGAACTACCAATTTTCCTGCAAGAAATGAAATGTCTACACAGTAAGTAAAAGTAGGCTTTTGCAATAAGGAAATTGTTTCCTCATGTTATATACTGTCACATTGAGACCATGCAATGAATGTGTGTAAAAACTGCCTAGTGAAAGCTTAAAATATCTGTAGTATGTATTTCTGATTTTCCCAATTGATTATACTCTTTTGGGGACTGGAAGGCTCAGGGCATTGGTAAAATGATACAAATGCTTCTAGGTCTCTAATTCAAATCCAGAAAAGAATAGCAGTGACTGAAAGTTGATGCAGCCTGATGATTCTTTGATAAGCTATGTGAAATATGTTCATAGAAAGGCAGTGATGTAGTCCTACACTGCACTGTCCTCCTGCCAGCCTGGCCCTCTAGCCCTGCCTCCACACTGTTCTAACTCTACCTCCACACTGCTTCGTATTCACATTAAAAAACAAACACTCCATCACAACTGGCACCCTTCTGGTAGTCTCAGTAGAGGAGCCAACAATGGAATAAAACAACGAAACAAAACTGGCTTCTCTTCCCTAGGGGATCTTCCATGTCAAGGCTGAAGCACGCTAGAAGCTTGTAAGGGAAAAGCTTGCACCACTAAGATTTGCAGGAAAAGGATTTTAGTCTCCAAAACTGTTAAATATTTAACTATTGCTAAAACCAAAAAGTTTTAAAAAGTACTTCTGGGCAAAATATTGGTTGATTCTATTCGAATGCAACAATGAAAACTTGAATTATAATAAACAATAGTGTCCATAATTTCCAATGAGCTCAGCTCCCATTTTGACAACAAAATAAATGGTCTCATCTTATTTTATGCTTCACTACAAGCTACGGTAGATAGAGTTTCCGCTTAAATTACTGGAATGGAACTGACCTAATTCACATCTTCTTAGACTGCCAAGATCCTCCTTCATGTCTGTAGATCTCTTAGTCTCAATCTCCATCTGACTTTTTTCTGTGTCAGGACAGTACTCTTCCCCATTCTCTGTAGGAAACTAAGTCCAATTA